CATTTTTCTATATTCATTAATTAACATTCCTACCATAAGGAGACTCATAAATCCTAATATAGATTTATTTACCAAGTATGGTATTTTATAGGCTTAATGCCACTAAAAATCCTCCAATTTCATAAAAGAAGTCATTGTCATCCTTCTACTTTATACAATTTTATAATGATCCCTCAATTTTAGAAAAAGGGCCAACTGTTATGCCTCCATTGACGGATGTTATAACACCTTCAATTCATTAGTTAAAATCCTCCAAATTTTAATATTAAAATAACATAGTTGGTCCCTTAACTTCAGTTCTTTGCACTTTTATTGTCAAAATTTAATTTTATTCAATTTAATCCTTAATTTCAGCTTTTTTATTATAATTTGGTTTCCAAACTTTTGAAAGAGATGCACTTAAATCTCAAAACTTCTAATTTCATGCATTTTGGTCCTTTTTTCACAAATAATAAAAATTATGCAACTTTCAATACAACCACATTTAAGTATTTAATTCGTTCAAATATTAATAAAATCAAGTATGAAATAGTAAACTAAAACATATAAAATTATATAATCAAAATGTAAAATCAAGTCTTTAATACCTATTTTTTCTCAAAAATATCTTTGTTATCAAATTTGAAATTCTATGCAATGTTATAATCAAAATAGTGAAATTATGAAGGACGTGGGTATAACTTGTAAATGTGGTCATGCAAACATCATTAACTAATGATGATTTTGGGTAATGTTTGTATGGCTATGAGTGTAAAACAATGATAAAAAGATAAACATCTCTTATTTACTCCTTTTTTTTTTCCATCATAATGTTGTTCCTCTTTTTTTTCTTTTTTTTTCTAATATGAGTTATGTTTATGTAGTTAACTAAATACCTTTTTCTTTATTTTTAAAGATCTCAAATTGGACATTAAAAATGTGATTTTTCACTTTTGATTAGGTGAATTTTACATATAGTTTCACCAATTTGGTTGTAGTACTTTGAGCAAATCCCCAAATTCATCCCCAAATAAAAGGACATAATAGATCCATGCGAAAAAAAAAGAGAGGAGCAAATTGTCTTTTTAAATTATTGATTAAGATAAATTATCTATTATTTAATATGTGATATTGTCACATCTTAACTTTCTGTTAAAAACTAGTTTAGATGGCAAATGAATTTTTAATGTATGATGGCATCATATGTTAAATAATAAGTAATTTGTTTTAATCAACAATTTAGAAAGATAGTTATTCCTGCCATTCTATTTGGGAGCAAATTTAAGGATTTATCCATAGTACTTTATAGAATTTCAAATTGAATATTAAAGAAAATTTTGGGATAAGTGGGTACTAAAGACTTAATTTTGCACTTTAATTATATGAATTTTATATATTTTAGTTTACTATTTTATACTTGATTTTATTGGTATTTAAATGAGTTGAATATTTAAATGTGATTTTATTAAAAGTTACATAATTTTTATTTTTGTGCAATAGAGGATGAAGTGGATGAATTAGAAATTATGAGATTTAATTGCATCTCTTTCTAAAGTTGAGAAGCAAATTGTAATAAAAAAAAGTTAAAATTAGGGATCAAATTGAATAGATGTAAATTTTGAAGATCAGAATGCACAAGAACTGAAATTAAAGGATCAACTAAGTTATTTCACCATTAAAATTTGGTGGATTGTAACGGAGGAATCGATGGTGTTATACTTACAACAATGGAGGGATTTTGATTGATCCTTTAAAGAAAGATGGAGGATTATTATGAATTGTTTTCAAATAAAAGAATGATAATGACTCTTTTTGTAAAGTTATAGGGCTTTTAGTGACATTAATCCTATTTTATAAAAGAAAATGTATAAAAAAATCAAATAAAATTTTAAATTAATTAAATTATAATATTTTTAAATATTACAATTTAATTAATAAAAAAATTACATTCTTTCTCTTCTCCTCCCTTTAGTTTTCCTCAAACTAAAGTTAATCTACGTGTCTTAAAGGTAAACATTTGAAATTTTTTTTCCCATTTTGCGTAATTTGATTCCAAGAAAAAAAATTATTTTATGGTCTTTTGGTTGAAAAAAAAAACTATTTTTAGTTAATAATTGAAATTCCTTTTTTGGCATGTTCAATAATTAATAATCCTAGTCATTGCCTAATTTCACAAAAAATAATTGATAATCCTACCATAAAGGGACTCAAAAATATTAATATAGATTTTTTCACTAAGTACTTTATAGTATTTTATAAAAGAAAATATATAAATATCTGCTTTCTTCTTCTTTTTTGCCAATAAATAAGATTTATTACCATATTTACACTGTACAGGAATGATTGCTCTTTTTGACAACTTTTGAACCACAGATTGGCATATCAAGTTTTCTAGTACCACGTTTAGCACGAGACAAACAAAAGGACAAAAATAAAAACAATAATTAATTAAATTATAA